GGGGGGGGGATGATAGGTGAATTGATTGCTTGTGTAGCCCCAGAAGGGAAGCATTCAGGATTTTTAAAACTCATATACATTTGGAGGAAATCTAGAGTACATGGAGACAACGTAAATACCGATGTAAACAAGGTTCTTCATCTTCATTCACCAAATATGGCGCACCATACCAAACTGTATAGGGATTTATTCACCTGATAACAGGTTTAATGAATTGATATGAATACAATGCAGGTCAGAGTAAACCTTTTTATGGGAGTGGCTGACTGGTCAGGGGGAGTAGCAGGGTTGGGTCCGATATATATGTAGATTAGTGTTATCCATGTCCTTCCTGCAGCTTAAGGTGAATGCAAAGATCAATGTTGTTAGTTATGAGTCAACAACAGGACCAATTTGGCAAGGGGCATTCATGTCTGACACATATTTTCTTATTAAACTAGATTTATCTTCGAACAAGAAGTCTACACAAAAAACATCAATTTAAACTTCAGGTTAAACATCACTTGATGGAAATAGCTAAAAAGGAACAACAAAATGATTTTGTCTATTTATAATATTTTAATTACCCTATTCCACTTTAAATTATAAGTTCCTTTAATAATTGTAGTATTGTAGTATTACACAAGCAATGACAGCACAGAATGGTATTTGATGAAAGACACCTTCAAATATCACAAAAAGCATATGACTAAAAATTATATTATTTCAAGTAAAAAGCATATGCTTTTTGTGATATTTAAAGGTTTGTCTTTCATCAAATACCATTCTGTGCTGTCATTGCTTGTGTAATGTAATTTTATGTTTGTCATTTATCTTTTACCTGAATAACCATTATTATTATTATTATTATTATTAAGAGGCCCAGAGGGCCTGTATCGCTCAACTGAATAATAAAGCAACCACGGAAAATTATTCTTATTACATAAAAATCCCTCCAATGGCACAGAAGAAGAAAGATTTTAAAGATTTAAACCTCGATTTTCCCTATTGGGCCCCATAATTATCAGCACCCAGAGTGACCTCACACTTCGTTGATAGGATAAAGTGGCTGGTATTGTACCAGGGCCACACAGATAAAGCATGAAATTATAAGGTAATAATTTATAAGTATGCAAAGAATATCAAAGTTGTTAATTACAAAATCAATGGACAGTTGTATGTAATCTCCTTTTTCACATGTTTTCTCTAAAAGGTCATTCTTCAGTATGAGATATATTTCATCATAATCACAAAAGAATTACATGTGTTTAATTGTTCTGTAATTGCAGGTTCATTTTCTTTTTCCGTACTGTCGGGGAAGTTGATGATCCGTGACTTTCATCTCATCACGGAAGACTACTCCATACGCGTCCATTACGGCTTTATCCTGTTTAAGTGGTGGAGGAAGTATACACCTAAAGAGATCAATGAAGGTTTTAATTTCTTCATATCTTGTATGAAATTTACAATGTGTTGATATATTTATGTTGTCAAGATAATTAAGACTTGTGTAGCTACTTGATTTTATATTAGGTCTAAGAGGGGTAAGTTTCCTTGGACTTCTAGATAGACTATTCATTGATGAATTGCAGCCAATATTTGGTTTGGTTAAGTTTGTTTGTGTTTTACGTCCTATTAACAGCTATATATGGTCATTATATAAGGATTTGCCAGGTCTTGGTGGTGGAGGCAAACCAAAGTGCCCTGATTAAAACCACCAATCTGTGGCCAGTATCTGGCAACTGCCCCATGTAGGCTTCGATCCCAATTTTTATTTACACTGTCTTTTCCCATTATAGTTTTTGTAAACGGGTCTGAAAATGATTTTGATTAAAATTGTTTTGATGTGTTAAATTTTATTTCCTGTGACGTTTAAATTTCATTAAACTGTCAGTTTTATTAGATTAAGATGAAAAATCAATTCAAATGCATAGGAATTATTATGCAGGGACTTCCCCAGAAATACTTGAGAGCTTAGAAGCCCTGGGATGTCTCTATCTGGTCACAAAGAGACATAAAACGTCAATAATTTCCTGTTATGTGTTCATCAAAGTATCATGTTGATTTAGTATTTCAGCTATGTAGTTGTATGAACTACTCGCTGACAGTATTGTTATACAAGATGTTAAACTCAACATTTGTTAAAGGAAACATTGACTTTTAAGAAAGGATATAAATAAAAATAATGGTGGATGGAGGGCTGGTAATGGTCGGTGCAGTGCCTGGCATATCAGGCCTGGAGGATACTGTGATATGTCAATCCAGACAATAAATTTCCCATGGTCTGCTTTGCAGATAATTATGTAATCTTTAGAAATCATATTAGATAATGATTAATCTTTCTTGGTTATTTTTGGCAGATCTTTCTCATCTTGAGACAAGGGTGGTGGTCTTTCTGGATGGATTTGAATTCCATGTCTACAATCGGTCTGGAAATTATGCTAATATGGAGAAGCTGTTTCGTACAGGGACCTATGATAGCTCTCCGGGAACTGAAAGTGAGGACACGGATGGAAACTTTGATAAGAAAAAGTAAGATAAATTTATGTTCTGCACATTAGGTTAAACAATTATTCATGTAACTTATACATCACAGATCACAATTAATGTTCATTATTTACCGTATTTGATGTAATGAGGGCACCTGCACTAATAATGGTGCCTCCGGGGATTTATAAGAATGTCACTATTTTCTTATCATAAGTTCTTGAAAATTAATTTCCTCATCCAGATTTAACCAGCTTTCACCACTGTAGACCATAATGGACTTATCCAGATCAATGAATGTTAGAGTTTATTGCAGTTACATAGGGGTGAAAGGGTTAATTATCCAAAAGTCATTGGAGTGGTTTTGTGAATAAGACAATGATTGGGCTAAATATAATAAGCTCAGTGGTCTGGTCCAACACATTATCTCTCACTCAAAGTAAGGGGATGGGCTTTTTACGGGACAATGAAATCAAATTCTGTTGAACTGCAATTGGTTTGGGTGGGCTAATTACCAGACATGGTGCTACTGTCTGATAAATACAGTATGTATCGGATAAATAGGGTATGTATCGGATAAATAGGGTATGTATCGGATAAATACGGTATTTATCGGATAAATACGGTATGTATCAGATAAATACGGTATGTATCTATCATAAGACCAGTGAATTTACATGGTTTATAGTAGGCACAAATTCCATGCCACAAATAAAACACCTTCACAAAATGTACTTTGTAAGAATCATACAGTTTACTTTCACGAATGGTAAAAAAACCTTTAAAAAACATACCTAATGTTGTTTTTTTTTGAGAAGGGCTGCGGCAACAGTATCCAAAACACACCAGTTTTGGCGAGACCTGATCCCTGTTACCAAGATAGAAATCTCTTGTGTAAGTATCTTTGATTTATTTTACAACAATTCTGAAACAAGTTACATCAACTTATATTAGTCACTCTTGTTTGCCCTAATGTAGCACTAAGGGGGTCTTTATGTGGAAGGGGTACCTGAAGAGAAACCAAGCAAATGATAGTTTAATTTTAATTTATTCAAATTTTACTATGGTAAATGTTTTGTTCATTTGTGGGAATATTGCCATGTAAAAAAAGATTAATTTATGCTTATATTTATCATGTGCTTCATATATTCAGTATGGATATTTCTTAGGAAAATAAATCAAATGAAATTATTTGTAGTTTCTTAGAATTTCTTTTAGAGCTTATAGGATTACTATCCTACCAACAAAAACAGCCTAATCCTTCAAATTACAAATATTGTGAAAAATCGACAAAAAATTGAACCAATGAAAGTAATAATTTTAATTTGTGCTTGTATCATGCCAGTTTGAAAGTACAGTTCTCTGTCTTGTTCCAGGGTCGTTGTGTGTTTGGTAACCAGCTGGTGCCCAACACCCTAATAGTCCACTTTGAGGAAGGTCAGCTAGTGTACACTACCAAGCCTGCCTCCACGCAGTCGGACCAGTTCATGCACTACCTGATTGGGAAGGCAGAGAATTTCAAAGTCATGTTTGTGCCCAGTCCCAAGTACGCTGGACCTGTGGATGAGTAAGTTGTGTTCATATGCTCGGTCTACAGTACACAGGACCTGTGGATGAGTAAGTTGTGTTCATATGCTCGGTCTACAGCACACAGGACCTGTGGATGAGTAAGTTGTGTTGGTATGCTCGGTCTACAGTACACAGGACCTGTGGAAGAGTAAGTTGTGTTCGTATGCTCGGTCTACAGTACAGAGGACCTGTGGATGAGTAAGTTGTGTTGGTATGCTCGGTCTACAGTACACAGGACCTGTGGATGATTAAGTTGTGTTCGTATGCTCGGTCTAAAGTACACAGGACCTGTGGATGAGTAAGTTGTGTTCATATGCTCGGTCTACAGCACACAGGACCTGTGGATGAGTAAGTTGTGTTCGTATGCCAGGTCTACAGTACACAGGACCTGTGGATGAGTAAGTTGTGTTCGTATGCCAGGTCTACAGTACACAGGACCTGTGGATGAGTAAGTTGTGGTCATATGCTCGGTCTACAGTACACAGGACCTGTGGATGATTAAGTTGTGTTCGTATGCTCGGTCTACAGTACCCAGGTCCTGTGGATGAGTAAGTTGTGTTCATATGCTCGGTCTACAGCACACAGGACCTGTGGATGAGTAAGTTGTGTTCGTATGCCAGGTCTACAGTACACAGGACCTGTGGATGAGTAAGTTGTGTTGGTATGCTCGGTCTACAGTACACAGGACCTGTGGATGATTAAGTTGTGTTCGTATGCTCGGTCTAAAGTACACAGGACCTGTGGATGAGTAAGTTGTGGTCATATGCTCGGTCTACAGTACACAGGACCTGTGGATGAGGAAGTTGTGTTCATATGCTCGGTCTACAGTACACAGGACCTGTGGATGAGGAAGTTGTGTTCATATGCTCGGTCTACAGTACACAGGACCTGTGGGTGAGAAAGTTGTGTTTGTATGCTCGGTCTACAGTACGCTGGACCTGTGGATGAGTAAGTTGTGTTCATATGCTCGGTCTACAGCACACAGGACCTGTGGATGAGTAAGTTGTGTTCGTATGCCAGGTCTACAGTACACAGGACCTGTGGATGAGTAAGTTATGTTCGTATGCTCGGTCTACAGTACACAGGACCTGTGGGTGAGAAAGTTGTGTTTGTATGCTCGGTCTACAGTACACAGGACCTGTGGATGAGGAAGTTGTGTTCATATGCTCGGTCTACAGTACACAGGACCTGTGGATGATTAAGTTGTGTTCGTATGCTCGGTCTACAGTACCCAGGTCCTGTGGATGAGTAAGTTGTGTTCATATGCTCGGTCTACAGCACACAGGACCTGTGGATGAGTAAGTTGTGTTCGTATGCTCGGTCTACACTACACTGGTTCTTACAATTGAGCAGACTGTAGGTCAATATTTTCACAGAATATTAGACAAAGTTTTTGTTGTGTCTAGAAATATCATGTCATAAATTCTCACATTTTGCCCTTGACTTGATAATGTGTATATAGCTTAAATTCATCCTGTGTACTTTGTTGAAAAATGCAAATTTATTTAGTGTAGAAATTTTGGTTGTTAGATTACTTGAAATACAAGATTCTCATTTAGGATTTCCAACATTGGACTGAGTAATAGTACTTGTAAGGGAAATGAAAGACAAAGAAGGTAAATGGTCACCTTTTGTAGATCTGATAAAGATCCTTTAATGGTGTGTGTCAAGATCCTTCTAGAATCTCTAATAATATTAAATTACCTCTAAAGATATTCATTAGCCCCAACATAAGATCTACTAGCCATATGTGTGGTTGTGCCATCAAGATCATGGCCCAGGAGTTGATAAATTTATATTTTACATTTTGCAGGCCACCTCGATATATGGGAGAAGGGTTCATTGTGCTACAGACTAGAGAAATCAACATACATTATTACCACGATGAGCCAGGTAATATAACTTTGATGAGCCAGGTAATATTACCAAGGTGAACCAGGTAATATAACTTTGATGAGCCAGGTAATATAACTTTGATGAGCCAGGTTATATAACTTTGATGAGCTAGGTAATGTAACTTTGATGAGGAGCCAGGTAATGTAACTTTGATGAGCCAGGTAATATAACTTTGATGAGCTAGGTTATATAACTTTGATGAGCCAGGTAATATAGATTCAATGAGCCAGGTAATGTAACTTTGATGAGGAGCTAGGTAATGTAACTTTGATGAGGAGCTAGGTAATATAACTTTGATGAGCTAGATAATATAGCTTTATAATGAGCCAGGTATGTAAAGAGGACAAGAGAGGCAATACTAACGAGCTTGAGCCAGGTAATATAGCTTTAATGTCCCAGATATGTAAAGAGAACAAGAGAGGCAATATTAATGAGCTTGAGCCAGATAATATGAACAGTCTTAAAACCAGTTACCTTCCCACTTGTCTCTTGTACTACTTATTGTGATTACGCGAATATGAAAAAACCCAGAAGAAATACCTCAAGCTAATCACTCTCCATCCTTGTGGCAGAGATGTTTTGCGAGAAAAGTTAATTATGATATATTTTCTCTTATTTAAACTTTGTTTGACCTAATAGCTACTGTAACAGGTATAGAGCAGTTTACAACAAAATGGAATCATTGAAACCCTAATAATCAAACTTATATGCGCTAGGTATTGTACCCTATGAGCCGGAGATAGTTGAGCTGGCCGATGGGGAGACTGTCGTACGACGGACGTATCCCTGTTTTGGTATGGACATCAAGTGTGGACGCAACACCGACCTAAGTTACGGACCCTGGGCCGACAGACAGAGGTATGAGATTATGTTACAAGTGTGTAAATAGATTGGTCGTTTGTGGCAGTGGTTAGGATTAAGTCAATGGCCGTCCATACAGACTGCAGGATTTGATTCAAATTATGAAATTATAGAATTTTCAGATTGATTATCTCCTGTTGACTTGACTCATTTGTGTCAGGTTTCAAAACTCTGAGACTTTTATCTGAAAGTATAAAAACATGTCTGTAGAGATTAGAATCAGAGTATAGCATGTCTGATGTTGAGGAGGCATACTTCAGACTCAATATAAATTTGAACCGTTTTGATATGTATTTACTGTTCATATAAATGACACAGCTTTGCAGGCAAACATCGTAATGCCAGGGCTAGAAATTAATTTTAAAAACCATTAGTCAGTTGGGCTAGTAGTTTCCAATTTGCAAATTCCACTTACTCAGTATATTTGAACATGAAAAGTAATGACAAATTTTGACGAGTAAGACTAGTGATTTTAAGAGTCCAGCTGGAGTTTTCACTAGTCTCAGACTATCGGGCTACCCTTATTGTTAAGCCCCGAGTCATTCATATAGACTGTAAATACCATATCAAGTTAAAATAAGTGTATGCATTGTTCAATGAATAACATATCAAGTATGATGTCATAATAAAATTGATGTCAAAACCTTGGCCATGGCATTTACAGCTTTATGAATGCCATCCAAACTTGGTAGAGTTATATGGTTGTAATGCTGTAGAGAGGTGAATTTGGGTATTACTGCACATACGTACATAGGTTCTGACTGTCATACATTTTTTTTTTCGCTGTAGAGAACACCTGTACAAGTTTTTTTACCCGGCTGACTACCAACCAATGGTGCCAACACAAGAAGCCAAGCCAGGGGAGCGACGTCAGTTTAAGAGTTTTGAGTTTCGTATGAGTATGCTTGAAAAGGCCACCATCGATATACTTTTCACCAAACAGTCAGTGAGTTTTTCGCAATTAAGCTGTTGCGTTTGTCGCTGGTTATAACGACTAATCAGTCAAATTTGTTTGCTTTGTCATAATCGGTCAAATATACCCAGTATGTTTGTTTGACTTCTGTTACAATGTATATCTGTTTGATCTTTTGACCTTTCTTGTGCAAGAAATTAGATACAACAATCCTCCAAGTTTGTAAAATGGGTTTGTTTGTTCGATAGGAAACACAGGCCATACACATGAACACCAATCCCGGGTCGTATGTGGAGACCAACGTCCCGTGGGTGATAGACGAAGATGGCTACACAACAAAGACAAAAGGCCAACTGCTGCTTATGGACGCCACAACCAGTCTCCAGTATCGCTCACTAGTAGAATGTGAAACATTTGAGGTAGGGCATTGCTACTGCATCCCCGAAACACAAGGGATCCACTCTATGTACACTCATCTTCTCTACACCCTGGAAATAAGTCATTTCGAAATTGAGGTCAGGCAGCTAGTAGGGCTGGGACGAATCAGGATTTTTTCGAATCGGTTCAATTTCGATTTTGATCCCTTCGAATCGATTTTTTCGAATCGATTCACTTGATACAAACTTTCTCATAAAAACACAAGAATCAAGTATAAAACCTTTATTTAAGGTGGCTCCACACATCGTCATCAGCGTCCATTTTCGTGACATACTTCCGGAAAAAGTACAGCTAGGACTCAATTATCTTGATCGAAATGTGCATGTACACCATGTCGTCATTTCCGTATTGCGTATCGGGCATTCAATATCGTAGTGCAAATTATAGTAACACCTGCTGGGCCGTTTTCATTTAAACGGTCAAACCGATCGGACCACTGTTGTTCGTTTATTAAATAAGGTCGGACCTAGTAATCTGATGCTGCTTTCAGGCGAGTCTTGAGAAAGCCTTGCAAGGCCTGCATACACATTTGCAGGTCCGCCAGGATTTACACCCGAAATTGTTACATTTATAAACGGTCAAACCGGTTGTTCCGCATAAACGAACAGGCCCATGGTAAACAATAGTACACGTGCGTGCCGATGATATGTCAACACCCGATATCGAGATTTTACCGGGAAATGTATACTCACACGTACTTCAGGAATAAAGCTTTCCAATTCATAGACATAAACAGACTCACGGGAAGACAGTGACATGAGACCAGACGACCTCAAGGTCATATATTGATATCATATTTTTGATTTATTTCCATCATTTTTGTTATATGTAAACAGAGACAACTGTCATTGTGTAAATGTCACCCCTCTGCAAAAAGTTCCGATTATTTTCAAGGAAGATAACTCTCACCCGGATCAAAGTGATTGTAAAATGTAAAATAAATTAATTATAAAGCCATTGTGTATATTTTGTTCAATTTCCCATTCTATATGTATAGATCTTTGTGTCCTGGGTGCTTTTAGCTTGTAGATAATCACTTTTATACGTACAAATTCAATAAGAAACACTTTGTGTAACATGTGTAACATATTTTGCGATAAATAAAAGGGTTAATTAGAAATGCTTCTTTTCATTTTATTATTGTTGTTATTGTTCCGAACAATGCCACACACCAAAAAAAACGGAAAATATTAAAATTGACGAAAATTCAATTTTTTGGTATTTTTTCCAAAAAAGTCCCCAAACAATCGGAATGTTTAGATTTTCATAAAATCAAGTCGACATAGTTGCATAACCATTATATGAAAGTTTCAACGAATTTTGCTGGTTATTTGCGAAAGTGTTTTTATATATTTCATAATATTTCCAGTTTGTCATAGAATAAAAACACTAAGAGTACATTCGCGTATCCGGTTGAAACAGTTGAACCTGTAAAGAAAACGACAGGTACAGATTTGGACCGAGGCTGACCTCAGGAAAATTTGGTACGTGTAGATTGAGGGGTCCAGACGTACCTGGCCGAAACTAAACTGCTGAATATTGCTAGTTTGCGTTATTTCTTTCTAAAACAATGTCAAGCCACATGTAGTTTTTAAGATACGATATTTAATTTAGTGGACGCGTGAGAGAAGGGCATAATATTCTTGATACATTGTTTTTTATTCTCCGAAACTGCATTTTTAGCTCTGCTTATAGAACGGTCCAAGTGTGTTCGTTTATCGTGGAAAATTTCTGCGCCACACGTACCGTTTCAACCGGTAACGCGAATGTAGCCCAAGAATTAGTCAGTAACAGAATGAAAATTGTGTAAGGGGGCAGTACCCAAATCGGACCAGTACCCAAATCGGATCACTTTTGGCAAAACTACTTATACTTCAATAAATGTGCCAAAAAATCATTTATAACTTAGCCATGCAGGCATGCACCAGTTTATTTCTACAGATGATTCGTTTTTAAGTTGAAATTGCACAAGAAAACGTATTTCAAACTTAAATGTCAGTGTTTTGATTACGTTTTTAAAAATGGCGCGTATTACTGAAACAGAGATCATGTAACTTACCCCCACTGGGCACAGACAGTCATTATGTAATAATATGAACTGAAAGTTGTCATCTTTAGCTGACGACTGAAATCCAAATAGAGTCTGCTGTTTTTTCCGTCATTCCTGATCAATTATGCAGTATAGTGATAATCAGCCCCGAGGATACCGATAGTCTGGCTACGCACTCGGGTATTATCGTAGGACAGTGTGGACTCATTACCATTCGTAGTAATTATATTCGCCGCTTGGTGCGCTGCATGCATTGTTTACTACCGGACTTCCATCATTCGCGGGAAATTCTGACAGTCGTTTTCAATCTTCTGAATATCATCATTTAAAATACAAACATGCTACAAAAATGACTTACCATTGTACAAAATTATTGTGCGTACACTCATGCTTAGTATGAAGAATTGGAACCGAACCGAACCGATTTCCGGAAATCCTTATTGGTGATTCGATTCGAAAGTTCTGATTCGCGAACACCGATAATTTCGGTGCACCGCACACCGTTAGCAGCTAGCCTTTTGTTTAGTTTCAGGAATAAAGAACAGACTAATTGATAACTATCTTTTGAAGATTACAGAAGGGTTCAACCCAACTTCAAAGCTAATTTTACCGTCTTGCTGCTGTTTGATTCTTTTGATGTACATTAAAGGATCAAATTAGTATACATGTTTCATTCACTAGATGGTGCATACACTGCCTTGTATTTATAACCCCTTGCAAAGGAAGTTTGGAGGTGTAAATAGGAATCATCCTGTCTGTCCGTCTGCCCATGATCCTTGTAAACGCAACTCCTCCCAAACTGTGTGTTGGAATTTTTCGTTACTTTACACAGTAAAAGGACATCCTATGTTAATGTGCATGAAGAAAGGAATTGATGTTATGGCGATTTTCAATGGAGTTATGGCCCTTTAAACTTCTTGCTCCAGAAACTTTGGAGTTATGGCCCTTTAAACATCTTGCTCCAAAAACTTTGGAGTTATGGCCCTTTAGACTTCTTGCTCCAGAAACTTTGGAACCTTTGGAGTTATGTCCCTTTAAACTTCATGCTCCAGAAACTTTGGAGTTATGGCCCTTAAAACTTTTTGCTCCAGAAACTTTGAAGTTATGGCCCTTTAGACTTCTTGCTCCAGAAACTTTGGAGTAATGGCCCTTTAAACTTCTTGCTCCAGAAACTATGGAGTTATGGCCCTTTAAACTTCTTGCTCCAGAAACTTTGGAGTTATGGCCCTTTAAACTTCTTGCTCCATAAACCTTGTAAGTGTAACTCCTCCTTAACAGTTAGTTGGATTTTTTTTTTACTTATCACAGTTAATGTACATCATATGTAAACATGCGTGAAGAAAGGAATTTGTGATTTTACTATTTTTCCTTGAGTGATGTTCTTTGAAACTTTAATTTCTGCTCTAGAAACACTGTTAATACAAGTAGGGGGTACACCTTTGTGAGCGCGTGAGCTCACTCACAGTTCCTCAAGTTTGTCTTGACAAATTCCAAGGGTGCAGAGAATATATCTATATCGAGAGCGAAACCTTTGTATTTTAATGATGATGCTTTTATGGTAATATTCTCTTCATGTAACTTCTTACAAGTTACTGAAATTGTTGCAGAAAAAAAGGAAAAAATATTTGAATGGATCAATTCACAAAGTATATCTATAACTTTCATTTCTTTTCAAACATTTACAGGATTAAAATATAATACATATTTTCAATAATTTGAGGATATCAAAATTCTACGATGCTGCTACATGTATATTGTATATAATAAAATGATAATTTTTCTTGTGTGGAAATGTTCATTTTACGACTCATGGGGTGGAAATATTTATCTTGGGATGGAAATATTTTGCATTGGCAGTGGTTTTGAAATAGATATATTCTATATGTCTATTTTCACTCAACACAAAAAAACATGAGCACTTCCACAGACTTTTACAGTAATATTAAAAAAACTATAACTTACATCAGATTGACTGTAATATTTGTTGAATTGTAGTTTGAAGTGACGGCGTCCTACCCTCTGGTCTGGAACGACCACCAGGACTGGCAGTGTGACTTCATCGCCTGTAAAGCGTCCGTCTGGCTCATATTCCAACACAAACATTTCTTTGTAGGCAAGTACAGTAGTACAAGTGATAAAAAATATACATGGTTCTTGGCCCTTATAGTCGGGAACATACCCTGTAGCTTCCTGTCTATCCTGAATGTCTTAAGAAACAAAAACAAAAAATAATGATTTGTTGTCAGGAAAAAAAAAGATGTTCTAATATTCTTTTTTTGTCTTTTAAAATTCATAAAAAAAGTTAGGGAAGCATATTTTTAAAAATAAACCCAAAAAAGAAAGCTATCTTAATGCACACAGAAATAAATACTACTATATTCTGCATTTGCATACGCATACAGGTAACATCAGTTTTCAATTGATTTTATGTAGAATATCTCCTTTGAAACCTATTTGAAGGTGTGATTTTGCATATACCTATAATGTACTTGAATAAATTATATGATAAACATTTTAATTTGCAGACTTGATCGAGGACTGGTCCACGAAGACTGTTCCAGACATTTACCACTTCGTGCCGTACACTTGGACCATGAACCTGCTGATCAAGGATTTTGAGCTCATCACTCTCGCTAACGAGTACAACTGGATCGACACCTCATCACAGAACCCAGAGAACGGTAACATTTCACTGTTAAATCAGCATAAATTGAAACCATCTAGTCGAAGGGAAATGCTTGATCCATTTCTTTGTTTATTTCACCTTTTTCAATTTTGTTGATATCATGGGTAATCTTCATTCCCCTATTCATAGGCCTATGAAGTAACTACAAATTGACTTCAGACAATTCTCTGTTTGAGTTTGTACTTGTAATCCACGAATTCATGTACCAACGAAATGGTGATTTGTCGAGAAACCACAAAATTTAGACCTCATGAAAATATCTGTATTTACAGAAGAAGTTGTGGATTAAAAACTTTTCTTGTAGGAGGGGGAGGTAATGCTGATTGTCCTTATATAATTCGTGTGATCATGACTTTATTCCTCTGTTCCTGTGAACAGGTTACTGTTACCCATATGCAAGGGTCACAGTGGCCAAGTGGTAATTAAGGCCTCTGACATTCTGCTACCACTAGCCCTCCACCACTGAGTCGCAGGTTCGAGGCCTACATGGGGCAGTCGCCAGGTATTGGCCAGTCTGGCTTTCCTCCACCACCAAAACCTAGCTCGTCCTTAAATGTCCATAGCTGTTAATAAGACGTAAAACACAAACAAACCAAAATATTAAAAAAAAATCTCATGTTTTGTTTTGTTGGAAGTGTAAATAGTTATCTCCCTTTTTGCTTTGTTTACAGCGCACATTGCATTCTGCGGAGATACCTTGGATCTATCTCTTGTACTACCCTACAATGATTACTTGCCACAGACGGTCCACATTGATTTCCTCATCAAAGTACGGTCATCATCTACCCTACCAAGATGTTTATTTTATGCCTAAGACAAGATGGATTTTTGAGAAATCTAGATGCTGTCTGCCCGTTCTGTTTAGCCCATTACTATGGAATATAAAGTAGCGAAAGAGAGTTGATTTTATTTGTGTCGAAATAATGAATGTTCATGTATTCTGGTGATATTGAAGTGGATTTTTTTTCCTTTTTTAACACTACCATGATATGGGGGTGACGGGTAGGGCATATTGTAACCCCTATCCAAGCTGTCCTGTCGTGTTGTTTTATGTCCCGTTCCATTGCAATCCTCAGATCGTCTTTTTTAATTTCCATTAATAATTCTTTTTATTATTATATGTGCTTTAAACAAGTTATTTACAGGCCTGATAATTATCTACAAATTTAAACAATATTATACATTATCTGTTGTTTAAAAATTTCTGAATAAGCATTTGCAAGATATTTTAATTCCTGCTTGACTGTTCTTTGAATTAATGCGAAATGTATTAGTTGTGACCTGGTGTTATAAACGGTATTTTCCCCTTCAGGGTGAGAGTGCTTTCTGTCGGCTGTTTTTGCCAGAAAACAACACCAGTAGGCATGTGGTGTGTGCCATTGCGGAGAGTATGAAGCTGATGGACCGGGACGGTAACATCATGGAGAATCCATTTCAACAACCGGGGAAGAAACAGTGGAGGCGGTTCACTTCTACGTCAGAAGGGTAAGTAGGTGATCCTAACCAAACTACGGTGTGGGTTACAGCTATGGTTTGTGCAAACTGACACATGTATTTATTAGGGTTTTCAATGATTATATGGTCAGAAGACAGCGAACAGGTTACCAAAATCAAAAACCTAATAGTCAGACGCTTATTTACTCCCACAGGGAAACTCCATGTTTACTCATCTTAAACCTATACATTTTCTATTAGTATGACCGATAATTTTACTAAACATCTGATGTATTGTTGTTTATTGGTTGATTACCACACTGACCGATTAACTGGTTACTCTGTAAGAAGATTTTTCAAGTAATCAGTTGCAAAAATTCATCTGGTTTGACAACCCTGGTATTTATGTAGGGAAATACCCTTTCATCATTACATGTGATAACTTAAAAACATATACATTGAAACTTTCACCCTTTTTGCTCTCCACTGGTAGAATCTGATTTTGCATAGTGAATATTTTTTCCCTTCATATGATATTTCTTTTCATAGTATGTTGTGAACTTGACTTCTCTGTGATGATAAATTCGCCCTCATTAAAATAGGCAAAAAAGGCGAAAGTTAAACTGGGACTAAAATTTCCCAGTGTACTGTAGCCAAAAATATATATAGGTATGTGACATGAGTATTATATATTTCAATATCAATATGCTTAGAAATTTCCTTGCAGATCCTTTTGTGCTAATTCATTGAATGCAAAAAAAAACAAGCATTTTCCCAATGCAAATAAATCCCCTTTTACTGTATTGCCGAACATGTTCAGCATACAGTGTTACTGTATACAGTCAAATTTCCTGTAAGATGAAAGTATTTTTTTAATAAGTATTATTACATTTTCAAAAAATTTCAAAACTGCAATTTCAACCCTGAACTACAGATGTACATGTACTACAGAAGTTTGAAAGCTGTTTATACAATAAAATATATGAAAATTGTTTGAAAATTTGTTCCTATACCTTGTGTTATAGGCAAGATTGGATAGATTGTTGGTATACCTCTAATGTAGCCCTCAGTATTGTCTACACATACCACCCTATGCCCCGTCTGGCCAAGGTTCAGTCCCCACTGGCCCCCGAGGGAACCATCTCTACGCCTGAGCTAGAGGAAGCCTTGCTCATACCACTCCGACCAATCAGGGGAGAACAGGGGCGGAGCCAGCCCCCTCCCAACTTTGATCCCGGAGAAATGGTTGCAGATTTGATCGCCGTAGAGCTGGAGGTTGCCCCCTCCATTTTGTGTCTGTATGGTCCGCTGTTGAGAAACTTTATACATGTAAAGGTGAGATTGTGAAAACTTGTATTACATAGTTTGTGTATTGGGTCAGTTACAGACAAACCTATATCAAAAGACCACCCTTGGGAAGTCCAAAAACTGGTCTTTTAACACAGGTGGTCTCTTAATACAGGTTCAATTCACAATGAAATCGCTGTAATGTTGAATATTTAAAAAATTTTTTTTTTACATGGGTGGTCTCTATATAGAGGTGGTCACACAAGCAGGTTTGACTAGCAATTTCATTTAGTTTTTAACTTTTCCCTTATGATGAAATCTTTGGCTACATTCAGGATCAAAAACATTTTGTGAGGTTTCAGAAAATGTTCTCCTTTGTCAAGAATGCTGTGCACTAGGACCTCTATAAATCAAGGTTCTCCAGAATGGTTTAGGTTCTTAATATACTCCTAGTTTGTTGTTTTAACTGTGTCTCTCATCAGTTTATACTGTTTGGACTTCCTTACAACATCTATTCAAAATAGGAATGTATTGTGACCAACTGTCTCTTTTACTCTTTTTGAAGAATTGGCTTTTGGTAATTACTTAGAGAATGTGAAAAAGACTTATATCTGATAAATGCTACAGAATTTAGAACATCAGTAATTAAAAATAGATGTCAGTACCGTATTTGTTCGGCAGTAAGCCCAGGGGGCCAACACATAATCTTAGGCTCATGGTAGGACGGTGGGCTTATTACAGGACAACACATCATCTTAGGCTCATGGTAGGGCGGTGGGCTTATTACAGGACCATAGAATAGCATTTCTACTGAACTGCAATAGATGGGTTAGGTTTATTACCAGGCATGAGCTTATTGCTGGATAAATATGGTAATATGTATATTTCTCCTATTGAAATGATCAGAGTTTGTACAAACAAGGTTTGACTGTTTATCTACAGGAGAATTACCTGGGCGAGGATCAGGTGTTCACAGACTTCCACGACAAGGGAACTGCACGGAGTTCCGGAGACAACGCAGCCATGGGTCCCTTATCAGCATCGGAGGGCGGAGAGGATACTGAGCCATTTGATGCTAGGAAGTACCGACCTTTTTCTGTCACTGTGTCCGTAACTGTCCACGATATACATGCACATCTTGTCAAGGTAAGAAAGACTTTTGTTTGTTGAGGGATCTGATATGATCTGCTACTTAATTATAGTCACTGGTGTTACTCCAAAGACGACTGTCATGACCATGGGTGCAGAACTATGCATATCTAAGCTATATTTCCAGAATACATTTTTAGGGTAATAGTTTATGGTCAGCAAACGGCACACAAGTTAACCTTGCTGCCTGAAGATTTGTTTACGTTGGGTAGTTAGAAAAGTGACTTGAGAAGTTTTGGTTCTCTTGTTGTGATTCCTATATTGTTCCACTTTGGTGTCCAAGGGTTCTGTTCCTGATGCACATACTCATATCTTCTACAGACTCTTGGAATATGTCTTGGCAAAATTGAAGGCTTGGTAGGCTATTTAGTTAGTTTTAGGTATGAAAGCATGACCAATCGTTAGACAGATATCTATCATTCACGAGGTGCTGCATGAAGAGGCTTTGATTTTGTGATGACAAGAGTGCGGAGAAGATTTTTACGTTAAGAGCAGGTCCCTTGAATTTTGAAGAAGATGTCATTTAGCCTTGTTTGTTCAGCGATGTTTATTCCCTCCAAAAAGTGGCCGGGTATTAAAACAGCTAAACTACTGAGACAATGTGGGATAGAAGAAGGGGAGAACTTTTCCTATGGTGGTAGAAGGATAAAGTAGGACCATAGGACCGGTGTTGGTTACTTTGATACTACTCAACTATATATATTTATTGTGCTTGTTTAAGGAAAAACAATTCTTAGTTTTCTTGAAATTTAATATGTTGCACAAAGGTGAAACCCAAGTGAAACACATTTTTTTAGGGGAAACAAAAAATCGTGTTTTCCTACCACAAAGGCAATAAATATTTTATTATAACTTGTACTCAAATCAGATAATAACATAATAGTAAAGATGATCAGGTTGATGTACCATTGTTGTCGTTCATTCACTCTGAATTAAGGTGTCATGTATCTTGCCCATTTCTCTAGTGAGGCAAGGGTAACTCGAGCATGTGAAGACAACACAATGTTTTATTTTCCCTTTATGTGATCAATCCAATCAAACATGTTATTAAACAGTTGTTATATAGATGTTAAATAGATGTTATACAGATGTTATATAGATGTTATACAGATGTTATATAGATGTTATACTGATGTTATATAGATGTTATACAGATGTTATATAGATGTTATATAGATGTGATACTGATGTGATACTGATGTTATATAGATGATATATAGATGTTATACAGATGTTATATAGATGTTATATAGATGTTATACTGATGTTATATAGATGAGGTATATAGAGAATAATTCATGCCTTTTTCCATATCACACCCAGTATCAACCCGAGACTACAATATCAGCCCAAGTGGCCGAAAGCCTGAGAGGGTTGATACTGGGTGTGGTATGGAAAAAGGCATGTTTTATTCTGTTTATTACATACTTACTAATAAAAGCTACTATCTTATGATCTATTTTTCTTTTGAAATATTGGAAAACAAAAATTTCCAAAAGGGGTGTTATATGGGTTTTGTGGGCTGATACGTACGGTGAGGGCTGTTACAGGTTTTGGGGTGAGATACGTACGGAGAGGGCTGATACAGGTTTTGGGGTGAGATACGGCAGGGGCTGATACGTCGGGGAGGGCTGATACAGGTTTTGGGGTGAGATACGTACGGAGAGAGCTGATACAGGTTTTGGGGTGAGATACGTACGGAGAGAGCTGATACAGGTTTTGGGGTGAGATACGTACGGAGAGGGCTGATACAGGTTTTGTGGTGAGATACAGCAGGGGCTGATACGTACGGAGATGGCTGATACAGGTTTTGGGGTGAGATATGGCGGGGGCTGATACGTACGGAGAGGGATGATACAGGTTTTGGGGTGAGATACGGCAGGGGCTGATACGTCGGAGAGGGCTGATACAGGTTTTGGGGTGAGATATGGCGGGGGCTGATACGTACGGAGAGGGCTGATACAGGTTTTGGGGTGAGATACGGTGGGGGCTGATACAGGTTTTGGGGTGAGATATGGCGGGGGCTGATACGTACGGAGAGGGATGATACAGGTTTTGGGGTGAGATACGGCGGGGGCTGATTCCTATGGAGAGGGCTGATACAGGTTTGGGGTGAGATACGGCGGGGGCTGATAAGGATTTTGGGGTGAGATACGACAGGGGGCTGATACAGGTTTTGGGGTGAGATATGGCGGGGGCTTATACAGATTTTGGGGTGTGATACGGCAAGGGCTGATATGTGTAAGAGCAATTGTGTCGTATAGCATATACAAAAAAAACGTATTTATTAGTAAGTATGTAATAAACTGTAATAATAGTATGTATGACCACTGTTGTATTACAGAACTGCAGTATTGATGACCTGCCCTGTCCCAGTATTAGTTTAGAGAGGCTGTGCTTCGAGTTGGACAAAAACTTCAAAGAGACGAAACTTCAGCTCCTTCTGTCTCCGGTCATTCTGGTTGCCAAGGATATGCTAGAGGTATAGATTTCTGACCAATGACAACAATTTCTATTTCATATCATAAATGACTGAATGAGTAATTTATCATCAAGGTATCATATTATCATGATGGTTTATTGTGTTCTAGTTGCTGTCACTTCTTTGTGCTTACTGTAAAATTTGAAATTTTCTTCAAATTCATTGTGGTGTGAAAGTTTCTGCAGTGGCAATAGTGCTGCAGTACAGACAAACCTGTATTTAGGGACATCTCTTGGGAAGTCCAAAAAGGGGTCTTTTGATACCGGTGGTCTCTTAATACACGTTCAATTCACAACAAAACCACTACAATGGGGGACATTAAAAGTGGTCTCTTAACACAAGTGGTCTGTTAGGAAAGCAGTCTCTTAATGGAGGGGGTCACATGAACAGGTTTGACTGTATATATTTCATAGTGTTACAGCGTGTTTGCACTTTTAATTTTGTGCCAATTTAGTAAATTCAAACTTCACAAACATTTTCACATTTACAGAATGTCATCATCATGAAGATTACATTTTTGTTATTTGTTCTTCAGCTAATTAACTTATTTTGTGTTTTGTACAGCGAGACGAAGACGAGAGTCACCTTAATGTGGGTCACTTGGGGTTATCAGGGTTACAGGTCAGAGGTCATGCTATGTTCTCCCTGGAGGGTCTGCCATTGGATTCGGAAACACTGGAGTATGGCTGGCTGGTGGAGGCTATCATTGGAGATCTAACAGGCAAACTCACCTGTGCTCAGGTGTGACACCTATATTACCTGAGTTTATTGGTAGAATACTTATCTTTTTTCTGGTAGAACAATTACCTGTATTCTGGCAAGGATTTTTATGTTTTCAGATATGGTGCACCATTTTCATTAAGGTCCCGTGTCAGAGATGTGGGTTCCCTATAATAATCAGAGTGTCTGTATGTCTGTCCATCTGTCTGTCTGTCTGTCTGTCCACACTTATGGTGCTTAAAAAGTTCCCAAGTTCAAGTCCATGATACTGTTACAAAAAATAGGTGCAGGTGGATATGGTCCCTATCTCAGAATCCAAAAGACTAATCTTCTTTGAAATTTGACATTTGATAACACTATTATATTGATATGTACATGGGCTTTAAATTTTTTCTAAAGCCAAGGTCATGGTCACTAAAAATAGACCATGGTGGTTACGGTTTGGTAAGGGGCTTTTGATGACCTGTCAGTGTTCTAGTTGTAACACAAATTCTTCGTCTATGTTTCCCCCTGTCTAACTCTCAGTTCCTAAGTTCATCAGTCCATTATGTAATGATGAAGGAAATTGGTAAAAACGGGACAGGAATAACTTTTATAATTTGATACAAATTTCAGACTTTTAATGTGTTAAATGCTGTTAATGTACATCTTTTAGCACAAATAAAATGTTAGCGTATCTTTAGTACATTGATGTATCCACAATATATGCAATAGGTCACAATTTACAGATCAATTAGCGCTAAAATACTTTAGTGCAATGAATTAAGCCCCAGATGCTAAGATAAGACTACTCCTTAAATACTTTTACAGTAATTAGTTTTTTTTTTTTTTTTATCTTTGAGTAGTAACAGAATATCTTTGAGTTCCTGCATCTAAAATATTTTTACAGTCAGTAATTACCTTGTTTTTCATCTTTGAGTAGTTACAGAACATCGTTGAGTTCCTGCAGACATTCATCACGCTGGTAGAAGACCCAGAGAACAGCCTGCAACACCCGCGCTCTTACCAGCTGTGTCAACATATGCTTCCCCAGCCTCAGTGTCGCATGCTGTCCAAGTATCGTTTCTACTGCCCGTCGTCGGAGGACATCAAATACAAGATGACCAGGGTGTCCCTAGACTCGATTAACTTCTTCCTTGTCGAGTCTGGCACTGCCTTCAATGTACAGGTAATAACAGCTACTTGTAGACATGTGTTGCCATTAGTAAAGAAATTGGGTTTCCTGGTATTTGTTGCTTCATGCTATGACAGGGAAATTATTTCATGATTCTGTTGCTTCAAGAAGTCACCATGGAGTGTCTTAGGTGCCCATTGCTTCAAGTAGTTAAGGGAAGGTTTCAGGGTATATGATGCTTCAAGTAATCAAAGGGAAAATTTCAAGTGTCAGTATCTGTTGCCTCAGATAATCACAGGGGAAGGTTTCCAGATATCTGTTAAAATGATTTTCTTAATAATTCAATTGATTCTTCCAGTGTAATTGTGTGTTTTTCTAATTTTATTTTCGAAGTTGATAATAATGCAAATGTATGTTGTGTACCGGGACACTTTCACCGAGTCCAAACAAATATTTGCCCTGCGCTGGTAAATTACCAATTACCTTACTGTTAATTTTGCCCTTCATCTTTGACTATACATGTATCATGTTTTTTAATTATGTCAACAATAATGACTTATTAAAGAGGGCAAAAAAGACCAAAGTTGAGTTGCGTCTAAAATTTCTCAGTATACTGTATATTAGAGGCCGTGGTGGCCAAGTAGTTAAGGCGTCTGACATTCTGCTACCACTAGTCCTCCGCTACTGGGTCACGGGTTCAAGTCCTACGGGGGGCAGTCGCCAGTTACTGGTGGTTTTTCTCTAGGTGCTCCAATATTCCACCACCACCAAAACCTGACACGTCTTTACATGACCATATAGCTGTTAATAGGACGTAAAACACAAGCAAACCAAACTGTATATTACTCTAACTTAATACCTTGTTGTTATATTTTACCAGCTCTACCCCATAAAGATATCCACCTGTAACCTCCACGGGACAAACACACGGGCAGGGATCACTGGTAAGATAGAACATCTGTCCTTCAACCAGTACATCTGTGCCTCGGCCCTCCATCACAAAGACTGTAAACAGGACCACTCCAATACCTGGCTCGAGTCTGGGGGTCTCACCATGGGGCCAATAGATGCTGAAGCAGCCATGGCACTCCCCAATCCCGATTTTCATGAAATCCAAAACATGTTTCTGAAGTTACACGATAAGAAAACTAAACGACTTTGGTTTCTTTGGCCAGTTGAGACGATGAAGATCAGCTCAGCTGTCATCGGGAAGTGTGGCTGTCACGGAGGTTGTACATTTTTTGGTAATAATAAAAACGGAATTGGATTTTTTAATCCAAGACGGACTAAAGATAAGCCGTTTGCTGCAGTGCTACAGGTATCTCCTGAAGGTCATGACCCGGGTTTTGGGCAAAGTTTATTGTTCAGGGATAAGTTAGTGTTCGATGTGTCTCCCTCTAGTGGAGGTTTGTCACCTCACAAAGGTCGTGGATTCGCATTTACTCGAGGCTATATGAGTGATATGACAAGTCCAGAATCGCCAGCCATGCATTTTAACATTACTGAAGACATTCTAGGGGGAACAAGTCAGTCGGGATCAACAGTGACGGACAAACAGTGGACGACCAGCAGTGCTGGTCAGTCAGTGACCAGTACCCTAAAAAGTAATGTGTCAACTCAGACAACGGCCAGTAGTACTAGTGGACACGAACTGACAACTCAGGCAGACTCGACTCAACCAAGCTCAGGGGACAGAGAACACTTTCAGTCATATGACTCTCTCAATTTCATGTCACGTAAAGGAAGCTTGGACGATACCTCACTACGGAGTGCAAGGTTCATGACACCACCCGATGGACAGAGTATAGAGTCTCACAGTCCAGGGATACTGAGAAAGGGAATGACACGTTCAATCCCCAGTCCACAGTTACTAAGACAAAGCGGTGGCCCCAAGGGGTATTCTTTAGCATCGCTGGAAAGTGAGCACTACTTCTCTGCCGAGGAGGACGTTTCTACGCTTCGACCAAGTAGTGGACATTTTTTCTCATTGGATGATTCGTCTCAGCCATTATTGGACTCAGGTATGAACAAAACTTTGACCCCTGAAGAAAAAGTAGAGGACCAGACTGTGATAAGTGTAGATAATACTGTGATAAATAGACGCTCTAGTGATGCGTCAACAATATCGTATGAATCCGCCCCGACGGATCAAAGTGACACAGACACAATATCAGGACCAGATATCCCGGACAACGTGTCCCTTGTCGACCTTCATAGCCAGGTCAATAAGCCTATCACCAAGTCTCCGGTGTTGTTAGCGTGTTACTCACGTCATCTCACTCAGATGCAGTGTCACGATTGGTACCAGCCTCCGCCAAGCCAGGGTAGGGGTCACGGAGGACAGGCTGACCCGTCCCTGTACTCGCTGTCCTCGGCAGGACAGTCTGCCCAGTACGTTCACAGTCTGGCCTGTGTTCCTCACTTCATCAAGTTGCGACAGGGTTTTAGTATCTCTCAGATGAGGACCCTGGAGCAGGAGGATGTAACCAGGGGCACTACATCAACAACGCCTAAGGATGGAAATACCACAGAGGAGGGTGGGTCAGCGAGGGGCAAGGACACTGTAGAAGGTACAGCAATATAAATATAACCCAGTTATACTGGGAACTCTTGTCTGCCAGGGAAGGGATTATTCTGTAAAAATGGAATCATTGCAGTGTGGAAAATGCTCGTCTTTTTTTGTATTGAGTAAATTAGTGCAAAAATATCTTCATGAAATTTGTATATATATAGAATATTGGGGTATACATATAAAAAATGAGTACATTGCAGAATTGTCAACACTAGAATTTTCACACCACAGATCGTTTAAAGAGTCGCAAAATGAATAATTCTATATGCTAGAATTTCCACTTCTACAGTACAGAAATTTAAAATGTCATTTGTACAGTAAAACATTTGACATTATAATTATCTCATTCACCCCTAAAGACACATTTGAACTCTTCCAATTCAAAGGTTGGAATAGCTCATTATGAAATTTCAGGGGTGAATGAGTTAAAAGTTTTGCATTATGTTTAAGGAGACGAGGAGATAAATATATTTTTTATAAAATCATGAAAAATGGATTGGGGTATTACAATCCAGAGAAAGCTAGCTTTTAACTGTTTACTTGAGTTTCTCTTGACACACTTACCATTGACACATTTCTAATGTGTGTAGCCATGTATAACTACTATCAAAGCTGTATAATGAGACCACCTTTTGGAAGTAGAAATATAGTCTTTTAACACAGGTGGTCTCTGAATGGGTTTGAGTGTATATATTGTTAGAAAAAACCTCAAATGATAGTAATTGTTTATTATTAAGGTTTCTTCTGTAGTTTGTGTAATTCTACACATACTTTGAACTCCACTGTGAGATACTAACTTCTGTGTCTAGCAGTATTCATCATACTTATACAGCACAATAATGATGTAATTTGCAGTCAATATTAGTATCTTGCACTAAGCCATCAAGTCTAGCAGGTATGTTTGAATGATAGCTGTAAAATACAACACTTTTGTATAAATGCATCAGCTGTTTGTTTACCATATTTGCTGTAATTAGTGCCAAGGGTGCTTGAAGAATTGGCTGGTGGGGGCACTTATAACAGAACATAGGTGGTATCAGTAGAGGTGAGATAACTGCTCATAACAGAACATAGGTGGTATCAGTAGAGGGGAGATAACTGCTTATAACAGAACATAGGTGATATCAGTAGAGGTGAGATAACTGCTTATAACAGAACATAGGTTGTATCAGTAGAGGGGAGATAACTGTCTTGACACATTCCCAGGGAGCATTTCATGTTGTTCTCTTTTTTCTTTTTCTAAAGCAGTGAGAAATAGATTATAAGACTGGAGTGTCTGATATAAAGTTGACATAGTACTGTATTTCGTTAAATGGAGAGGGACAGAATGGAAGGGTGTTTGGGAACGATAGCATTTATAATATCATTTCAATAAGTGGTTAAAAAACGAGTGAGGGGTCTTACAAGGAGAGGGTTGTTAATTACAGTGTGATGGACTATTGAGATCATATTGTGATGCCTTTCCTTGTTATTTACAGACCTTGAGGATATTACAGAGCTGAGGATGGAGAGTGCATCCATTACAACAGCTGTGGTCAAGATTAAGGGTTCTATGGATGTTTTGGTTACGCCCTTATTCCTTGAGTCATTCCAAAGGTAACCGTTAACTCAGTGGTCAAAGTTTACTCAGCGGTCAATTAGACATGTACTTTCAGCTGATATTGTGTCACTGTTTCAATGTCATGTGTCTGTTTCAGGAACAAAGTACTTTGATTTTCGTTTTTTATCAGATATTTTTCGTGGGGCCCTAATTTTGTGTTTTTTCAAAAAAAGAAATGAGTACCCTCTCATATGGAGAAATGCGTTATGGGTGGGGCAGTGGATAATAGACTCGTCTTTAACCAAGGCAACCAGAGTTTGACTCCCAGATTAGATTTGAAAAGGTATGGGGTCACCTGCCAGACTTCGTGGGTTTCCATGGGTACTCTGGTTTCCTCCAACTTTAAGACCTCCAACACGCTAACATCTGGGTCAACAACAGTGATACTTAAAGTTGTAATAACTTGTTTCATAATTGTTGTAAAAGAAATAAAGTTTATATTATATCAAATTGTAATTACTTCGTTGATCTATGAATTCGTGGAAGAAGATTACCCGCAAAATCAACAAAATTAAAATACCCACAAAAATTAGTGATTTCACAGGATGCCTTCCCCAAAAAAGCCATGCATGTGTGTGTTACCCATGTTAACTTTGCTATTAATGGGTCAACCATTGCTATTTTGATAACTGACCCATTGTCATCAATTACTGACATTAAGGGCAAGGAGGGGGTAATCAAGTCTTACAAACATTACTTTGTCAGTTATACTCAGAATAATTTCAATGTTCAAGTAACTTGTAGTCTAAATCTCTGGCTTTCAATCATAGTACTTACTCTATAACCTGGGACGACTTTTCATTTGATATTGTAGATATGTGGAAGCAGTGATCCCAACTCTGATGCTGCTCCATCCATCGTCGATCATCGACGGTTTACACACCCAGTGTCTAGATCGTCTCAAGCGCCAGAATCGACTTAAAAAGGGCGTGAGTATGGGAGAAATGGTTGCTGAGGGAGTCGACAACTCTGCTGGCACAGAAAGACAGTTCAGTACGGAATCACGTCTCCGCACCGGGGAGATGAAAACATCAAGTATACAGGCCCTCTTCACTCTCAATAAGGTAAGAAAACCACTAAAATGTTATAAAAGTTTCATTTCTGTGGAAATGAAAAAAATATGCATAAGCCATAATTTTCCACAAAGATTTGGTTCATAGAAAACAGTATGATTATAGTAAAACCTTCCAATCTGACACCTGTCCAATCTGACACTTTTTGAAACACAACATTTTGGTCAAAATTAGACAGGATGATGGAAGAAATTAGATTACAGTACCAAATGCCCTGGACTAGTAGATTGTATGCCGGGTCAATGAGAATACCACATTTGGTATAGAAATAAAGGTTGGTTTATTAAAATTTTGGAAAAACTCTTTGGGGGTTAGGACTAGAAAAATAAAAGAATGCACCCCTGAACACTTTGTTGGATTAGACAGGATGTTGTGATACACAGAGGTCAGATAAGACAAGTTTAAATTTACTATTTATATGCAGCCATGTATGATGGATCTTTTCTTCATCTATTCAGTAATAGCAAGTATTTCTGTTCTCTTTATACAGATCAACATCTGTCTGCTACAGGCCGGCATTGTCGAGGAACTCATATCATTCTCTGCCTTAGAGAATATCAATGAATTGACTTGTGTGTCGCTGTTAGCTGTGAGCATTGGTGATATTCGGTGCCAGCTTTTGTCCAACAGTCACTCTTACCGTAATCCACAAGATCCCAGCCCTCTCAACGTAACACCGGTGGCCAGTAACTCCCCTAAGAAGAAAAGCAAGAACCACAATTTTGCTCACAGTGAACAGGGTGATCCCGAAAATCAGGTGTCGGAGGTTTGTCGCGAGGAGGATGTGGCGACTCTTCACATCTCTCGTGTACATCTCCAACTGCAGCGTCTTCTGAAGGAAAGCAATTTCTCTAACGACATCCTGCTAACCATCATCCCCGAATACAAGTCTAAAGTTCATTTTACCTTCGACAAGGATTTTCCGTCAACTGGAGGTGCGTTCTCATTCACCTCGTCTCCACGGCGACGGAGAGATTCATCTTCAGGACATTCTCCCCGACCTCCAATGAGTCGCCAGGCCAGTCGTGATGTGGGAGGGAAGGGCGTCAGTCGACAGTCGAGTAGAGATAGTGATAGTCGGGGTTCAACACTGCCAAGGTATTTTTGTCATATTATGCTTTTGTTACACACAATTTAGTCATATTAATGATTTTTTTGTCAACATTATACGGAACCTCAAACTCAAGTGTGAAACTGAACATATGACAACTTGACCCTTTCAGCTAGAAATACTGTATACAGAGTAATTTTTGAGGCAGTGTTATTTTCATGTCTTTATCAAGAGGATCAACTGCAAATACAGCCATGCAACGAACATTTCCATTTCATGACATTTTTGTAAGATTTAGTTTAAGACAAACAGAAGTACAAAATATAATGCACAGTCCACTTTATTGACAAAAATTCTCACAAGTTAGAATTAATGTATACTGGGTAATGTTTGTTGTGGCTGAATTTTCGCCTTTTTTGCTCTCTGAAATGAGGCGAATTTATCATGACAGTGAATATACAGAGTTTACCCTATAGTAATTTGATGGGAAGGGCAAAACTTACTCAGGACGAAAATAGATTTTACCTTTGAAGAGTGAATATTTGACTGGGCAAAAGCTTTTCGGTAATCATAGTTTACTTTTAAAATGCTCACTGTTGATGCACATACAAGGAAAAGTTTTAACATTAAAAAAAGCCACAACAGTATTTCAACATGTTTAACAAAACACAGGATTACTATATATATAGGAATAAGGGCATACAAGTTTAAATGTTTCACAGTGTTTAAATGTGTGAAATGAGAAAAATAACCCTCCAATAATTTAAGTTTTATGTAGTAATTAATCTCTTTCATTAGATCAAAATAAGGAACTGAACCATGAACTAGTTTTCCTGATACTTTGTCATTATTTATGTTATCAATCGTATCCGCCTGACATTGTCGCTTAGCTAAAGTTATAAGGAAACATATTGTCTGAATACATGAATTTATCCAAAATAAATTAGATTTTGGGTTTTTTCAATTACAACATGTGCATTCTGGACAATAATAGGCTTGTAATTAAAAAAAAAATCTACACTTTGTCTGAATTAACATTCCATACTTTGTCTGAATTAACATTCCACACTTTGTCTGAATTAACATTCCACACTTTTATAAAACGTAGACATGCACTTCCACTTCTTTATACACTAAACATACTCTTATGTTTAATATTTGTCTGCCCAAGTAACTTGTGTTCATAATCTGCAACATTCAGATGAAGATGAGCAGTATTTCTTGTATGTCACCACCTTTAGTTGCGACAAGCTTTAGAACTTAACTGAATGCTTCTTCTGTTGTAACAGGTTGTTCAGACAGGCCAGCATTGACGAGTCGTCACAAGACACCACTTTCCAGCCCAAACTTTCACGAAGACAGTCTAGCAGAGATGGGCATAGTTCATCTAAATCTCATGGATTTGGTTTAATCATGTTTGAGTGTGGACTAGAAGAAGTCAATGCCACAGCTGTGCGTAGGCTTGGTTTCAAGGACGTGGCCGATTCAGAATTTTTTCACAAGATGGACAGGGTCTCTAAAAACCTTGAAGAAATTCAAACTTCAACTCGAATACATCTTGAAACCGAGATTGCACGCTCGCAACAACCGATGAAAGAGGAGTCAATACGAATTAAGATTGATGAAACCAAAGAGGCATCGTTACATTCCTGGGATTCGCGCGTCTCCATTCCCTCCAGTGACTCGTCCATTTCCCTGGATGCTAAGGTGGAACCTCTAGAGGGGGACTCGTCTGGAGGGGTTCTACACCTGAGCACGATCTGGTTCAACTTTGCTGCCCCTCCTCCTATTTCTATCAAGCGCAAGGTGGACTTCACAAGGTAAACACACTAGGTGAATTTGTTATCACAAAACTAATTTTAGTTTAGAACTGGTTTTTTAAACTTTCCATTTTTTAATGAAAACCAGTTTTTAATTAGTTTTAAACTGAAACTGGTTTTTCATTTGTTAAGGCAAACCAAAACCGGTTCATAAAACTGATCTAACTGCTCCCAGTTGTGATTTTGTAGTTGGTTTCTCAATCAATGATGGCATTGATAGAAAGATTGATGGTAGAATGTAGCGAATGCATAGGAATTTTTCAGACATCTCTTTTATAACAAAATGAATAAATTAATTGAATTATATGAATGTATTAAAGTTGACATATCGAAAAATCAATAAAATAAATCTTAAAATTTTGAAAATTTTCGATAATTAATTCAACAATAAAAAAATCATTCTTGAAATACCCAGCGAACTGTATTCGAGTAGTCTTTCTTCGAACACTGAATAAAATAGATGTGCAGAAACATGACGGCTACTTCCGGCAGGTGAAATTTGTTGAAAAATATTTGTTCTTATTTTTGAAAAAAATACAGTTTTATTTTGCTAGTTTTTGTTTCCTTTAGTAGATTGTACACATGTTGTTGTTGTTTTGATAGTCATTTCAACAGTTTTCTACCGATATGAGTATGTAATCGTGACTGCTCCTTAAGTGCATGGAAACCAATAACACGAGGATATCATCCGTGTCATTGTCATTATTGAGAATGATTTGAAGTATTAGTGCTGAACATATTTGTTATGAAGCCATTTTTGTGTTAAACCAGACATTTGTTTGAACTGTAGTAAAACCAAAACCAGTTTTGAAACCAAAGCCGAACCAGTTTCTTTTAGACTTCTATAAAATTTATTTAAAAATCTATTTAATTTTACAACACTGTTAAGAATTTTCGATATATCTTGAATTGATCTAAGATGTTAACTGGAAAACTGTATTTACATGAACTGTCAAATCTGTTTATGTGACCAGCTCCATCAAGACACCATCTGTATTTAGAGACCATTTTAAATGTTTCCTATTGTAATATTTTCATTATGAAAAGAGCCTGTATTAAGAGACCACCTATGTTTAGAGGCCACTTTTAATGTTCTCCATTGTAATGATTTGATTGTGGAAAGAGCCTTATTAAGAGGCCACTTTTTCGGCTTCCCGAGGGTGGTCATTTACAATACAAGCTTGACTGCAGGTCAATGCGAACATGTGAAAATAAGCCTGTATTAAGAGACCACCTGTGTTAGTAGATCACTATTTGGGTTTCCTGAGGGTGCTAATTTAATACAGGTTTTAATACATATCAATAAAAACATGTGAAAATAAGCCTGTATTAAGAGACCACCTGTGTTAAGAGACCACTTTTTGGGTTTCCTGAGGGTGGTAATTTAATACAGGTTTGACTGTATATATCATTAGGATGGAGTGGAGAGATTTGATGTACTTAAACCTTGTTATAGGATGGACTGGAATCTTCTGAGTAGTGCTACGCCAGCGATCAATGCTTGGCTGAACCCCCTGGACCGGTTAATGGTCTCTGTGCGATGTCTCATCCTGGCCCTCACCCACAGACAGAGCTCTGTGATGGCCTGTATCATGACTGACGCCCTGGAAGTGCCGGGAATACAACTCCCTCACAAGGTAGCCACCACATAAATGTGTTACTGTATTGTTTACTCTCATTGCACTGTCTTAAATGGTTTACTGTTTGGGTATTTTATGTATTATTGTTTATGTTCATTATCATATTTATCCTGCAAAAAGCCCAGGGAAGTAATCACATTATCTCCATCTCAAGGAAATAGCGTTTATATATATAGACATTTGTACTGAACTGCAATTGATTTGGACAGATACAAGATACAAGATACAAGATACAAGAATTTTTATTTAGAGTCGTGTTTGTAACAACGCAACTTTAGCTCAGAAGAGCTATTCTTACTACTTCTTATTCTTATGCCTGTTTACAGCTTATTCTTATGCCTGGTTACAGGCCTGTAACCAGGCCTGGGCTTACGGCTGGATAAATACGGTATAGATAATTTGTATAGGTGGGCTTACGGCTGGAAAAATACGGTATAGATAATTTGTTTAGGTGGGCTTAGGGCTGGATAAATATGGTCTAGATAATTTGTATAGGTGGGCTTACGGCTGGATAAATACGGTATAGATAATTTGTATAGGTGGGCTTACGGCTGGATAAATATGGTATAGATAATTTGTATAGGTGGGCTTATGGCTAGATAAATACGGTATAGATAATTTGTATAGGTTGGCTTACGGCTGGATAAATACGGTATAGGTAATTTGTATAGGTGGGCTTACGGCTGGATAAATACGGTATAGGTAATTTGTATAGGTGGGCTTACAGCTGGATAAATACGGTATAGATAATTTGTAAAGCACCCTTCATAATCGCAAGAAAATAACACTCAGGTGCTTATCATAACATAGGTGACAATGTTTATTTAGGGGAGCTTGAGAGCAGCTTCACTCAAGTGCATCTTACCCTAGGATCCCCTTTCAGAACCTACATTTGTAGAGGGTATGTGTGCTGGAGCTTGTATTAAGTGGATTGCTTGTTTTGGGTCAGTATTTTAGATGGCTCATTTATGGCAATTGAACACTACAGCACAGAAACTGTAATACCCAACCCAGCCCTATAATACTCTAGCACTTCATACATATGGAGTTGATCAACGAGGGTAAAGAGTCTTGCTCAAAGATACAACCACGTTCTTCTGTTTGTGGCATCCAAACTTATGTCGACCTAACAGTCAATCAGACCCTTATATTTTTTGTGCAAACAAGAAGATTACTGTATACCAGGAATTGTTTTGCTGCAGTTAAATTTTCTCCTTCTTTTCCCTCTGTAATGAAGGCAATTTACCATTACAGTTAATATAAGTAAACAGCATAATATACATAGTAATTAAATGTGAAAGGCGAAATTCACATGTGTTAAAAATTGATTTAATGGACGAAATATTTCCAAGTATATTTTAGTTGATTGGACAAAAAAGACTACTAAAAGAATATTTTTTCTTTGTTACAAGATTAAACAGAATCGATTTTTGTAAAAGGACATTTTGTTGTTTACAGAGTAAGTATGGGAAGATCACGTCTCTATCAAAGACATTCCAAGAGGACCCTTCCTGTCAGTTACTGACGTCCCTCAGGAAATATCTTCACAAAAAGGGCACTGTCCCGGTGGAGGCGGCCATTACCGCAGACACCCTTCCTCAGCTCATCACCATCCAGAAAGGAATCCTGGCTCTCACTCGACAGTGGAAGAATGTGTTGTACATGCCACAGTTATCGCAGCTAGACTTCAAGTCACGTAAAAGTGTAAACCCGTACAGAGTTACATTTGCCATGCCGATGGAAAGCATGGAGAATCTAACTGACGATGAAGAGTTCAGCAACATTGAAAATTTTGATGTTGTGGATGAGCGTACATCTTTGCTTCAAGCAGAAGGAGGTTCAGTTCACCATTCCATGTCTGTGCCGAGTTTGAGTGGACGTAGTGGACATTTGTTTAAGTACGGTGTCGGCAGTGGAGGAATCGGGCTTGGTCTTTCCGACAAAAATAATCCGGACACAGCAAGTAACATGTCCGGTACATCGTCCAAATACAAACGTCTGGTCACACAGGGAAAGTCTGGAGCAGATCAAGTGGAGTCTCCGGAGAGACGTGCACCAACACCCAATCAGAAACCAGGACCTTTAGCCCCGCCTCCAATCACAAGGAACGACAGTAACTACAGCTTCCATTCAGCAGCCACTAGTCTACACAGTCTAGACCAGCAGGAAATGACACCACCTCCGACTCCCGTCAAACCCGAGTTTATGAAACAGTCGATTTTGAAGCATAAGGTGGACAAGTTTGGAGATCTGTATCTATGGATGGCACGCCAGCAAGAACAATTCCATGGTCAGATATTGGAGGACGAGCGGTGAGTACGGACAGATATACTTGCTGACTTACTACTTTCTAAAAAAAACAAGGAAAATATCTTGTTTGAACATTTCACTTGTTTGACTGTATCTAATATAAGTTATCCAAAATTATTTTTGTGGTTTATCCTCTTTTTTTAAATTGTTATTTTCTCATTTAATTTCTAGATAAAATGTGCTGTATCTAGGAAAAAAATTAAGTTGAGATATGTATCATGTACATACTAGTACTGTATACCAGGACATTTCACTGCAGTTTCTTTGATCCTTTTTGACCCCCCTATAGGGTGAAATTATCATTACAGCAAACTTTAGTAAGCAACATAATATATATAGAATTTTAATCAGCGAATCTAGTATTTTCAGAAAATGGATTCTATTGCGAAAATCTGACTGGGCGAAAATGTTCAGATTTACCGTATGTATTAACGACAGTATGTTACCCCTTACAGGAGTTCTTACAAGAGACAGGATTCCTTGCTAGGAGCGTTTGGAAGTGGATGGAGTCAGGATGATAGCCGAATGGATTTGAACGATGAACAACTCACCATGGCCACCTCTATTATGCAGCTAGCAGATGCCCAGAGCCTTTTCAAACCGTTCTTACAGAGCATCGGTCTACATGTCGAGGGTGTAAGGCCATCCGCCATGATGAAGAAATTCGGAGGTAGTCTGTCTCTGCAGGGTAAACTAGACTTTCTGAAAATACAAATAGCCGAGTCAGACAGGAAGAGTACAAAGGGGAAAGGAAAAAGCCGTAAACACCCTAAGTGGAATATCAGTTCCGACACGCCAGCTTTTCTATGTGAGGACTTTTCCGCTAACATATCAATGAATGACGTTGTTGACTTTGAATTGAAAGAATCGGGTGAAACGGCAGACCGGTCCAAGGGTGCGTGTGGTATGCCTCTTAATTTTGCAATGCATAAATTGGAGGCAAAGCCTACGACTCTGCAAGTGAATTTTATGATGAACATTCAGGCAGTTACTCAGTACGTTGATATGCCCCTGTTGAGACTTATCCATCAGTTTGTGACAATGGCGGAGAATGTGAACGACACTCGGCACGAGCTGAAGCAGAGTCATTCAGACCTGGAGTGGATCAAAACTCATCGGAAACAGGACTCGAAGGACTCCACATCCAGTGCAGACACACAGCAGTCCGATGCCTCACATCAGAGTGGTGGTTTGTCCCCCCCTTCTGGAGAGATGCCACGTACCCCAAGCTGGAAGAGCGGACATGAACACGAAGTACCACATCATCATCACCATCATCATGGTATGACGCCACAGTACCCTCACCAGAAATCTGGCTCGCTGTTGCCCAAGTCGTTTAAACTGCCGTTTGATTATAAACGACCTGACAAATTACCGATGAAGCGTCCGCCACTGTTAACAAAAGGACTTGGAACAATTCCAAGAGGTGGGGCTAAATCTAGTGACATCACCACTCCTCCCCAGTCCCTCAACCTGTCCGACTCAGTCACCATCGAATTAGATGACACATCTTCCCCGACCCTAGCGGAGAAAACAATTGTGGATGAAATCAAAGAAAGCACCCCAAAATGTTGGAGAACTTTATACCATCTTCTTGAACTTTACTCCACCATGCCAGAGACGAAAACTGTCGGACGCAAGCCATCATTCAAACTTCCAGTCATTGAAGAGGAACCCGGAGAGGGCCGACATGACCAACCTGTGACCTCTGGGTCACAGCGCCAGCCCAAGAAACCGACACGGACCTCTGGTCAAAAAGTGGTGGATGCTGAGGAGGGAAACCTAGGGAAGAAGAATATTGCTTATTCATCATTCAAGAGTACTAGCTTCAGACAGAGTGAGTGGATATCAGTTTTACATCACTACAAAACTTTTCAATCATGTAAAGTACTGTGATGGATTTTGTTTTTACATATGAAAACTGTTGCTGATGATAAGTTCTTCTTGACTAGATAATCAGTGAATTGTTGCTCACCTGCCTAAAGAAGGGTGGGTCTGAATATGGGAAATAGAGGTAAACCTTTACAATCCTTCTACCATAGGGATAAAGGGTCTTCATCCCAATTTAGTCTGGAGAATCCTTGGGCCAAGGACAATCAATATTGTATAAACAGTGGGTGTAGCCCCCAGGGCAGAAGAGCGGGGCCTAATAGGGGAAATAGAGGTAAAACTTTGAAATCCTTCTTCTACCATAGGGATTACAGGTTTTTTTTCTCTCCAATTTTTGTTCCATCAAGTTGTCAGTAGTGCCTGTTACTATTAGGGTGTATTCCTTAAAACAAGATGGTCACCAGGCCGCTATTTTGGATTTTGACATTTGAAGTTCGCTATATCCCCAGAAATACCGGATGGATCTTTCTGAAATTTCATATGTACAAACATATCCAGGTGAGCAATACAGGCTTTCTTGGTCTCTTGTTTCAACATAATATGGGTCTGTTATAAAGCCCCTTCCCCTGAATAATTTCTGCTGTATTTCCCTCAAAATCGGCGGTAAAACACTTTGTTTCCCCAAAATCATGGTATTTCCAAAAGTCACAAGGGAAATGCCTCTGTAAAAAAGAGGGGAAAAAAATCACTTAATAAGTAATGTAACTTTATCAGGGTTGTGGCACCTTATGATCAATACTAGAAACACTATTTAATGATAAAATGTTTGTTTTTGCAGGTGTCTATGTGGGTGAGAGTATCCCCCTGGTAGTGTTTGGTATCGCCAAGGTGGAAAAGGTCAAAATCATGGCCGTGCTCAGTGGACTGAAGCTGGAGTCCGAACTCAAGAATGTGCATGCTAGCGGAACCTACAGGGAAAAGGTCAAAGGTCAGACTCTTTGTTTGTCTTGAAATGATGAAAAAAAATCATAGATTATTTCCTTAATGATAAATCTTACTGATATCATAAGAGGAATTTGATATTTAAAGTAAAGGAATTTAACAAGAAGGTTGTGGCAGCATTATTTCATGTTGTAGATCCTTTTTACCTGCTGTGGTTGGAGCATCATATTTCCAAACTTCATTCTTTAAAAGCAGATAATAGTATATGTATGCTTGTAGTCTAAGGATGATGTATAGAGGGATTAGAGTGTCGGGTAGGTAACAATAAGGGTGCCTTTGATTGCAATACTTTGCCTTGTATTTATTATGAAATTTAGCTGAAGAATCAAAGAATCAAAACGAATTTTTCATATATACAATAGTCAACTTTGTATAATGAGAAAAAGTAGATAAAATAATTAATTTGGTTGATGTATATTAACACCAAAATTTTACATTTCAAGGATTCCTACACAGAAAATCATCTGAGTCGTCTGTGACGGCACACATCGGGCACACAATGATGAAACTAGTTGAAGGCTTACCTCCTGAGATCAAGTAAGACCGATTAGAGATAATTTTTACTTCTGTTCATGATTGTGGGGAATAGGCGAGTGTAGCGTTTTTGTTCTGTACATCTGACTTCAGAAAATTAATCAGGAAACTGGGATGTACAATTTCACTGTAGCCCAGGGCCAGTAAATCATATGTAAAACACATTTTTAGTCAAGCTTTAGACTGTATTTGGATTACACAGTCTCCAAATTTGCAGGAACTACAATGTACTATTTTTAGGAATATGATAGTTTTCCAAATATTTGGGAATATAGAAGGCAAACTATTGATCATAAGTAAAAAAAAATACCATGCACATGATAAGGATTAGGTGAAGATTAAAAAGAAAATTTAAATACTGAAATTTATTTTGAACAATTTGCTAAATTTTTGAATAAATATAGAAAGGTGAGTTTTTAGAAATTCTGTGTGAATAGAAAAATAAGTAATGGACATTGTGAAAGTGGAAAGTCTTGCTTGTGGCAATGTTCATGTGGGAGAATTTAAACTGATTGCTATGTGGATAATTGGCATTATCAAGGCGAGAGTAAAATTGCTGCAGATATTCCCGCTATGCAATATATATTTGTTATATTTTAGTTTGTAGTAGCTTTTGAAATGCATTACCTGTTATTGGTGTAAAAATAATTTCAGGACGGTTGTGACAGTTAAGATTGACAAGTCACAGGCACTATATACCACCATTATGAGGCGAGGTAAGGACCATAACTCTGCCATGGTGTCTGTCGGAGTGATTGACGTCAACATTCCGCAGCATCCTATTGTACTTCATGACATGATGACGAGGAGCTCACGTCAGATCACCTCAACCCTACAGGAGTTCAGGAGGCCCTTCAACAGAACAAGGTATACATTATTTTATGCCCTTTAACAGCATGATGTAAACTATTTTGGCCTATAAAAAGCAGAATATTGAATATTTTAACAGTTTTTACAATAAAACTTAAAAAAAAAAAAAGGAACTGAGAATTTTAGTAAAGGAAAATCTGTAAAATTGATAAGAAGTTCTTACAGAACAGAGGTTTGGTTCCAAGTTTGACATCTTAATGTTAATCAAATGTAGATAACAATAGACATAGTGTCTATAAATAAGTTATAATAATGATATTACACAAATCATGACAGTTAATTAGCTATAGGCATGACAGTTAATAAGCTATAGGCATGACAGTTAATTAGCTATAAACTGTAAACAGCTTCCACGTTTTAATACATTGTACATGTTTATGTTATAGTCGAACCCTGGAAACCCACCCAGAGTTAGATAGTGCCGAAACTGGAAAAGGGGAGACAACTCCCCAACAAGCTCAGAAGACGGTCAAGAGGAAGGAGAAAGCTCAGAGGAAGCCTAGCTTCTTACACCTCCACTTCAAGGCTGTGTTACAGGGGCTTGTCACGGGGGCCTCCCTCCTGCCCTCCCTCAAAGCTCAGCACAAGGTATAGCGCTATATGTGTTGAAATTTATACCTTCTCATACCCTCTCTATCGATCTCATTAAGCTCAGAATAGTGTATTAACACCCCCCCCTCCCAAGCACCACCACCACCACAAACAACAGAAAAATAGAGAATCTTTTTCCCTGAAACAAGGGCAATACATTTATATTGCTTGTGATGCCTCTTAAAGCTCTATTCCAAAGCTCAGTACAAGGTATCAACATTTTGCCAGTCTTTGTAATGTCAGATTAATTTTTGTTGTTGTTGTCAAAATCTGTATCATCTAAGAAGTTGTAACTGTCTCCATAACATTTCATGTGTAGTAAACTATATACGGGGCTTTGTTTCAGACGGGGGCTATAACACTGACAGGCATGACAGGAAAGAAGGCGAGATTTACTGTAGACCTACAGAAACACTCCCTCAGCTTCAAGTCAAAGGTAACACTCAATGTTCAGTCTAAAGGTAACACTCAATGTTCAGTCTAAAGGTAACACTCAGTGTTCAGTCCAAAGGTAACACTCAGTGTTCAGTCTAAAGGTAACACTCAATATTCAGTCTAAAGGTAACACTCAATGTTCAGTCTAAAAGTAGCACTCAATGTTCAGTCTAAAGGTAACACTCAGTGTTCAGTCCAAAGGTAACACTCAGTGTTCAGTCTAAAGGTAGCACTCAATGTTCAGTCTAAAGGTAACACTCCGTGTTCAGTCTAAAAGTAACACTCAGTGTTCAGTCTAAAGGTAACACTCAGTGTTCAGTCTAAAGGTAACACTCAATGTTCAGTCTAAAGGTAACACTCAGTGTTCAGTCCAAAGGTAACACTCAATGTTCAGTCTAAAGGTAACACTCAATGTTCAGTCTAAAGGTAACACTCAGTGTTCAGTCTAAAGGTAACACTCAATGTTCAGTCTAAAGGTAACACTCAGTGTTCAGTCTAAAGGTAACACTCAATGTTCAGTCTAAAGGTAACACTCAGTGTTCAGTCTAAAGGTAACACTCAATGTTCAGTCTAAAGGTAACACTCAGTGTTCAGTCTAAAGGTAACACTCAATGTTCAGTCTAAAGGTAACACTCAGTGTTCAGTCTAAAGGTAACACTCAATGTTCAGTCTAAAGGTAACACTCAGTGTTCAGTCTAAAGGTAACACTCAATGTTCAGTCTAAAGGTAACACTCAGTGTTCAGTCTAAAGGTAACACTCAATGTTCAGTCTAAAGGTAACACTCAGTGTTCAGTCTAAAGGTAACACTCAATGTTCAGTCTAAAGGTAACACTCAGTGTTCAGTCTAAAGGTAACACTCAATGTTCAGTCTAAAGGTAACACTCAGTGTTCAGTCTAAAGGTAACACTCAATGTTCAGTCTAAAGGTAACACTCAGTGTTCAGTCTAAAGGTAACACTCAATGTTCAGTCTAAAGGTAACACTCAGTGTTCAGTCTAAAGGTAACACTCAATGTTCAGTCTAAAGGTAACACTCAGTGTTCAGTCTAAAGGTAACACTCAATGTTCAGTCTAAAGGTAACACTCAGTGTTCAGTCTAAAGGTAACACTCAATGTTCAGTCTAAAGGTAACACTCAGTGTTCAGTCTAAAGGTAACACTCAATGTTCAGTCTAAAGGTAACACTCAGTGTTCAGTCTAAAGGTAACACTCAATGTTCAGTCTAAAGGTAACACTCAGTGTTCAGTCTAAAGGTAACACTCAATGTTCAGTCTAAAGGTAACACTCAGTGTTCAGTCTAAAGGTAACACTCAATGTTCAGTCTAAAGGTAACACTCAGTGTTCAGTCTAAAGGTAACACTCAATGTTCAGTCTAAAGGTAACACTCAGTGTTCAGTCTAAAGGTAACACTCAATGTTCAGTCTAAAGGTAACACTCAGTGTTCAGTCTAAAGGTAACACTCAATGTTCAGTCTAAAGGTAACACTCAGTGTTCAGTCTAAAGGTAACACTCAATGTTCAGTCTAAAGGTAACACTCAGTGTTCAGTCTAAAGGTAACACTCAATGTTCAGTCTAAAGGTAACACTCAGTGTTCAGTCTAAAGGTAACACTCAATGTTCAGTCTAAAGGTAACACTCAGTGTTCAGTCTAAAGGTAACACTCAATGTTCAGTCTAAAGGTAACACTCAGTGTTCAGTCTAAAGGTAACACTCAATGTTCAGTCTAAAGGTAACACTCAGTGTTCAGTCTAAAGGTAACACTCAATGTTCAGTCTAAAGGTAACACTCAGTGTTCAGTCTAAAGGTAACACTCAATGTTCAGTCTAAAGGTAACACTCAGTGTTCAGTCTAAAGGTAACACTCAATGTTCAGTCTAAAGGTAACACTCAGTGTTCAGTCTAAAGGTAACACTCAATGTTCAGTCTAAAGGTAACACTCAGTGTTCAGTCTAAAGGTAACACTCAATGTTCAGTCTAAAGGTAACACTCAGTGTTCAGTCTAAAGGTAACACTCAATGTTCAGTCTAAAGGTAACACTCAGTGTTCAGTCTAAAGGTAACACTCAATGTTCAGTCTAAAGGTAACACTCAGTGTTCAGTCTAAAGGTAACACTCAATGTTCAGTCTAAAGGTAACACTCAGTGTTCAGTCTAAAGGTAACACTCAATGTTCAGTCTAAAGGTAACACTCAGTGTTCAGTCTAAAGGTAACATTCAGTGTTCAGTCTAAAGGTAACACTCAGTGTTCAGTCTAAAGGTAACACTCAATGTTCAGTCTAAAGGTAACACTCAGTGTTAAGTCTAAAGGTAACACTCAGTGTTCAGTCTGAAAGTAACACTCAATGTTCAGTCTAAAGGTAGCACTCAATGTTCAGTCTAAAGGTTACACTCAATGTTCAGGTTAAAGGTAACACTTAGCGTTCAGTCTAAAGGTACCATTCAGTGTTCAGTCTAAAGGTAACACTCAATGTTCAATCTAAAGGTAATACTAGGTGTTCAGTCTAAAGGTAACACTCAGTGTTTGGTCTTAAGGTAGCACTCAATGTTCAGTCTAAAGGTAACACTCAGTGTTCAATCTAAAGGTAATACTCGGTGTTTAGTCTAAAGGTAACACTCAGTGTTCGGTCTAAAGGTAACACTCAATGTTAAGTCTAAAGGTAACACTCAGTGTTGAGTCTAAAGGTAACACTAAGTGTTAAGTTTAAAGGTAACATTTAGTATTCAGTCTAAAGGTAACACTCAGTGTTCAGTCTAAAGGTAACACTCAGTGTTCAATCTAAAGGTAATACTCAGTGTTTAGTCTAAAGGTAACACTCAGTGTTCGGTCTAAAGGTAACACTCAATGTTCAGTGTAAAGGTAACATTCAATGTTCAGTCTAAAGGTAACACTCAGTGTTCAGTCTAAAGGTAACTATCAATGTTAAGTCTAAAGGTAACACTCAGTGTTGAGTCTAAAGGTAACACTAAGTGTTAAGTTTAAAGGTAACATTCAGTATTCAGTCTAAAGGTAACACTCAGTGTTCAGTCTAAAGGTAACACTCAGTGTTAGCTCACCTAGTTCAAAGGACTAAGGTGAGCTTGTGACATACCGTGACGTCTGTCATCTGTCCGTACTTCAACAATTTCTTTAAACGACTTCTTCTTCTTCTTAACCACTGATTGGAATTCAACTAATTTTGACTGGAAGCATCCCTTGGTGGTGGGGATTCAAAATTGTACAAAAGGTTGGGCCGGGGCCAAAAAGAGTATTTGGCTATATTGCTTTTAGGGACTTCTTCTGTGGAACTAAGTGATGGTTATCAACCAAATTTGACTGGAAGCATCCCTAGGTGAACGTGATTCAAAATTGTATAAATGGTGGGGCTGAGTGGCGGGGCCAAAAGTGGGCACTTTGATTAAATTGCTACAAACAACTTCTTCTGTAGAACTATGCCATGGATATTGATCATATTTGGTCGGAAGTATTCATGGGAGGCAGGGATTCAAAATTGTACAAATGTTGGGGCTGACTCCCTGGGCTAGGGGGTGGGGCCAAAAAAAGTTTATTACTTGGAAATGGTTGAGATCCCCACCGTATAACCATATATACAATTGCTGAGTATAAAGAGAAGAATCCACATTTGTTTCTATGATGGCCCTAAGGTCTGGCCCCATCCTTGGAGACATACTCCCTGAGTCATAACTTTGAAACAGCTGAGATCCCCAACCCAAATAACAATGGATGACATCACAGCTGTGTTTTAACAATGCTTATGCTCAATATCAATAAAATAGAAAAAAGTTATATGCAACTTGATGTTTGTTAATTTCACTCTATTTTACCGTGTTCAACTTTTGATATTAAAACTTGTGTGATATATGAGAGGAATCCCACATGATTGTGTCTTGGCTATGTCGGTGAAAGGAATTTTTTCTAAAGTTTTCAACCATGTTTCTTGAAAATTCATTTCAAAATTTCATATATCAATTGATCAAAACTGGTTTAAGGTCAAGTTCATACATTCAAGGTGAAGGCTACAGCTACACAACCTGTACATGTGACGGGGAAATTGTCAGTGCTTTCCTAACTAAAGATTTAAACAAAATTGCATAAAACTCCATCATTCTGAACATTAAATCATGCACTACTTGTACATGTTTGCACATACACATGCAACCTCAATTTTCAATAAGTCGTGTTGTCAACATTTGTTGCACTATATGGTATCAGTTCTGAAACCAACAATAATGACAACCATAATGACATAGCATGTGCTCTTGTAAATTTGCAATACTCTTTTAAAATATATTTGAAATTGATATATACATCTTATTTCAAATGCCGGCCTATATAGATGATAAAGCTTAAAATATTTTCATTTGTCATTAGACCTTTTCACTGCAGTGAATATGTGAAACACTGAATTTAAAAGCTTTTCAAAATTTTTGACAGACATGTAAAGGTATCATTGGGGAGCAGTCATCCATTTTGTCTGTCCATTTGTCTGGATCATGTATAATTCAAACTTGAACAAAATTCACACATATTAAAAAGCATACATACTCTGGTCAATGTCCACACTTAACAAGGTAACTTGCTTCAATATTCATTGATCAATATACAAACATAGACGTTAAGTTTGAAATTGAGCGAAATCCTTGCATAAATAATTAGCATACTGCGCTCTGATTGGTCAATGATTTTTGCCAAGAAACTTTGTCAGATAAAACCAGATTCTGATGAAACCTGGTCAATATATTATTCAACAACAAAGTTCAAAGATGAATAAAATCTGCGCATAATCTATTAACAAAATTAGCTCTTATTTGAAGCTTGTTTCCACAATAATTTAGTCAAATAGAAGTTGATTCTGATAAAACTTTTTGAACATCTTAACTATTAACAAAATCTACCAGTGATTTATAAGCAAAAAGGGAATAACTTTGGCTTTATTGATTTAAAATAATTAGTTATTGGCAAAAGGGATAAATCCCTATTTCTGTTTTTAATGTTTGAAATATGGACAAAGGTCTAAAATGATATATTCTAGAGAAAACTCGGTACCCATCTTCTGACAAAAATATGAAGATAGACTGTACACACAAGAATAATAACTTTTCAGTGGTACACTTTTACATAAAACTTTGATTCATAACAAATTAACAGTAAATCCTTCTGTACAATATGATGGGCACTTTGTCTCTATTTTGTTCCCCATTCCAAAACTAATATATTTATCTTGGTCTCTCTTTTGCCTTAGCTTTCAGTACTTTGATTAAAATATGTATACCTGAAACAAGAAATTAGGCTTTAGCACATAATCCATGCTTTAGCAGTTTCATGAATATGGGCCCTGTATTATTTTTGAAGGTCACAAGCGTGAAATGAAAGACAAATGAATGATACAGGCCCATTGTGCCGCTTGTCTAATTAGTTTAATTCATTGAGTTGTACCTGCCTTTCCTTCCAGGTGGTTACCACGGAGACATCAATCCCCTCCCAGGCCAGTATAGATCTGCCTCCCATCCACATGTTTGCGGACTACCGCCTCTCCTCTGCCTCCTCTAGCGATGGCCCGATGGCCGCGGAGAGTCTGACGGGGCAGGGGCTGATGCTTAAGGAGGGAAGTTACCTGAACGCTGTCGCAGAAGTGGGCATGTTTGAACACAGCCTCACAACAGACCTCCTCAACCATCTTGTCTTCGTTCAGAAAGTGTTTATGAAAGTAAGTTGTAGCTACATAGATTTAAAAAAAACAAATGTTCCGTAGAGGAGAGTGCATGATTTACACTTTTCTACTCTCAGCGTAAAATGACATACCAAGAATACAACTTTTCTTCAGTCAACCATGTATTGAAATACCAGATTTTTTTTATCGCAATTCAGAGATTTTCCTAGACAAGAAATAAATATTCATGTGAGATAGAATTTTACAAGAAATTAATCTCAGTGACGGATATATTTTTGCGAAAAATTTATCCATGCGTGAGATTAATTATCCTCTCGCAATGAAAGTTCGAGGGGATATAGGATTCCGCCCATACGTACTTTACACTCTTTGTCATCGCTCTAGCGACTTCATTCCGCAACAGAATTTCATAAAACTTCATAAGTGTTTAGTATAACAATATACCTTGAACAAGTTTGCATTTCAGGTTTCTATATTGAAGGTCGAGGTCACTGTTACTATTTTAAGAAAAACTTTCTACTGACTTTATTCCCCCATAGAATTTCATGAAAAGTCGATACAAGTGTTTGGTATGACAATACCTTGAACAATTTTGCATTTCGGGACACTGCATTTAAAGGTCAAGGTCACTTTTACTATTTTTAAAAAAACATTGTCGTCGCTCTTCCAACTTCATTTCTGAATGGAATTTCATGAAACTTTATACCAGTGTTAAGTATGATAATATCTTGAACAAGATCGAGGCTCAGGTTCCTGCAATAAAGGTCAAGGTCACTTTTACTATTTTTACAAAAAACATTTGTCATCGCTCTTTCGACTTCATTCCTCAAAGGAGTTTCATGAAATTCCATACAAGTGTTTGGCATGGCAATGCCTTGAACAATTTCTCCTTTTGGGTTTCTACGTTGAAGGTCAAGGTCACTGTTACTATTTTTAGAAAAAAACTGTGTCATTGCTCTAGTGACTTCATTTCCTCTTACATATGTCACAATGTGTGAATGCAAGGGGATTTGTATCACTTTTGATGCCTTGTGTTTTTATGTTAAATTGCAAGGAGAATCCTTTGCAAATTGAAAAATAAAGCAAATTTGATAATTGCTATCACTGTTGAAATTATATCCTTTCAATCACTGTGTTGTACAGAAGGTTGCTATACAGTCCCTTATTGATATCAAACAGATCTCAGCAGCCCCCTCCAGACATAAATTGCTATTATAATGTTAGAACACTTAAACAAGCGGTCATCGGTCTATTTTCCTCAATTTATCCTCAAACTCCTTTATAATGCCAAATTTTCTCTGAACAAATGGTGGCAGTATATTGAGGTTTTACTGGTACAGTATTTTTTTCTTTTGTTCATATTTATTAGCTCACCTGGTCCGAAGGACCAAGGTGAGCTTATGCCATACCGTGGCGTCCGTCGTCCATCCGTCGTCCGTCCGTCCGTTCGTACGTCAACAATTTCTTTAAACGACGTACTTCTTCTTCTTAACCACCGGTTGGAATTAAACTAAATTTGACTGGAAGCATCCCTAGGTGGTGGGGATTCAAAATTGTACAAATGGTGGGTCTGACCCCCCAGGGGGCTGAGGGGCAGGGCCAAAAGGGGTCAATTTGCCCATATTGCTTTAAGCGACTTCTTCTCTGGAACTAAGAAGTGGATATCAACCATATTTGACTGGAAGCATCCCTAGGTGGTGGTGATTAAAAATTGTACAAATGGTGGGGCTGACTCCCCAGGGGGCTAAGGGGCGGGGCCAAAAGGGGGCAATTTGGCTATATTGCTACAAACGACTTCTTCTGTAGAACTGTGCACTGGATATCAATCATATTTGATCAAAAGCATTCCTGGGAGGCAGGGATTTAAAATTGTACAAATGGTGTGGCTGACCCCCCAGGGGGCTGAGGGGCAGGGCCAAAAAGGGTATTTGGCTATACTGCTTTAAGTGACTTCTTCTCTGGAACTTAGCGATGGATATCAACCTTATTTCACTGGAAGCATCTCTAGGTGGTGGAGATTCAAAATTGTACAAACCGTTGGGCTGACCCCCCAGGGGGCTAAGGGGCGGGGCCAAAAGGGGGCAATTTGGCTATATTGCTACAAACGACTTCTTCTGTAGAACTGTGCACTGGATATCAATCATATTTGATCAAAAGCATTCCTGGGAGGCAGGGATTTAAAATTGTACAAATGGTGTGGCTGACCCCCCAGGGGGCTGAGGGGCAGGGCCAAAAAGGGTATTTGGCTATACTGCTTTAAGTGACTTCTTCTCTGGAACTAAGTGATGGATATCAACCTTATTTGACTGGAAGCATCTCTAGGTGGTGGAGATTCAAAATTGTACAAACGGTTGGGCTGACCCCCCAGGGGGCTGAGGGGCGGGGCCAAAAGGGGGCAATTTGGTTATATTGCTATAAATGACTTCTTCTGCAGAACTATGCCATGGATATTGATCATATTTGGTCGGAAGTATTCATGGGAGGCAGGGATTCAAAATTGTACAAATGGTGGGGCTGACCCCCCGGGCTAAGGGGTGGGGCCAATAAAATGTATTACTTGGAAATGGTTGAGATCCCCACCATATAACCATATATACAATTGCTGAGTATAAAGAGAAGAATGCACATTTGCTTCCAGGATGTCCCTAGGGTCTGGCCCCACCCTTGGAGACATAGTCCCTGGGCCATAACTTTAAAACGGTTGAGATCCCCACCCCAAAACTATATATACAAATGCTGGGCATAAAGAGACGAATGCAATCATGATATCAGAATAGACCCTGGGGTCTGACCGAACCCCTAGGGACCTAGTTTCTTAGTCACAGCTTGGAAACAGTTGAGAGCCCCACCCTATAACCGTATATATACAATTGCTGAGTATAAAGAGATGATTGCACATATGCTTCCAGGTTGGCCTTGGGGACTGCCCCACCCTTGGAGACTTAACCCCTGGGTCATAACTTTGAAATGGTTAATATCCCCACCCCGAAACTATATATACAATTGTTGGGCATAAAGAGACGAATGCAGTCATGATATTAGAATTGATCCCAGGGTCTGCCCCACCCTTGCAGACTTGGCCCCTGGGTCATACCTTTGAAACGGTTGAGATCCCCACCCCAAAACTATATATACAAATGCTTGGCAAAAAGAGACAAATGCAGTCAAGATATTAGAATCGATCCTGGGGTCTGGACACAACTCTAGGGACCTAAATTCTGAGTCAAAGCTTGGAAACAGTTGAGATCCCCACCCCATAACCATACATAAAATTGCTGGGCATGAAAAATCTAATATAGCTATGCTACAAGGATTGACCTTGGGGTCTGGCATATTCCCTTGATCTCATTTGGAGAATAGTTTGCCATGATTGCTTAGGTATCCAGGTGAGCGATACAGGCCCTCTGGGCCTCTTGTTTTCTAAGTTAAAGGGACTTTAGGTGGTTTGTGAATTTAATATGTACATATAGGATTAAAATCCATAATTTTAATGTTCTTATGGGTCCCCAAATCGTCATTTGCATGGAATATTCAGATAAAGTGTTTTTCTCCCGCCCGCACAATTCCAACAACCCAGGTGGAGTATAAAATGGTCTGGGGTGGATGTTGCGGTATCTGTGCTGTAGCATTCAAATGAGGTGGCACTATAAATAGAACTGTTGGAAGAACAGTCCCACTACAAACAGAACAGAATGCATCCCCAGCACACATGCATCTATACACACATAGGGAGATATTAGCCAGGTGGCATATGACTAGTAGTTAGCGCTTGATAAGGCAGCTCCTGCAAATTCCTTAATAATTGTATTGATTAATGTAAATGCTAATTGTATAAATTGTATATCTATTTATTGTAAAGCCCTTTAGAGTGGCTTATTCTATCTAGATACGGCGCTATATCAAATGTTATATATTATTATGTAACACAGTTACATTCAAAATTTTTTCAAAGATGTAGTACCACGCATCATGGAATAAGGAATATGTTTAAGAGCATTTTTAGCCCGAAAGGCCAACTGAGCTAATGCTGTGGTGCTGCGGCTGTTGGCCGTCGGTCGTCCTTCCCTCGTCCATCTGGCATCCGTCCGACATCAAGATTTTACTATAAACAGCTTCTTCTTAATAACCAAAAGGCCTAGGATGATGATATCTGGCCAGTAGTATACTAGGATGAAGGGCTACAAAGTTTGTTTAAATAAATGACCTTAACCTGTATTCATGGTCACAGGGGTCAAATACGTTTAAAATCTTTAAAGGACTTCCGAATAACCATGAAGCCTTATATATTGATACTTGGTCATTAGGATTACTAGGATGAATGGCTACTGAGTTTGTTAAAAAGAATGACCTTGACTTTAATTCAAGGTCACAGGGATCAAATATATTTTAAATCTTTATACAACTTCTTCTGAATAACCAAAAGGCCCAGGGTGTTGATATTTGGTCATTAGCATTACTAGGATAAATGGCTACCGAGTTTGTTAAAATGAATGACCTTGAACTATATTCAAGGTTACAGGGGTCAAATATGTTTTAAATCGTTAAACGTCTTCTTCTGAATAACCATGAAGCCTTATATATTGCTATTTGGTCATTAGTATTACTAGGATGAATGACTACCAAATTTAGTAAAATGAATGATCTTGACAGATATTCATGGTCACAGGGGTCAAATTTGTCTAAAATCTTTAAACGACTTCTGAATAGCCAAAAGGCCTAGGATGATAATATCTGGCCATTAGCATGCTTGAATAAAGGGCTACAAAGTTTGTTCAAATAAATTACCTTGACTTATATATAAGGTCACAGCAAGGAATCAAATTTGTTCAAAATCCTTAAACGACTTCTTCCGCATAACCATGAGGCCAAATGTTTTCAACAGATTCTTTTGAATTAATTATAGTCATAAATACTGGTTTGCCTGTTGCTTTGTTTAAGATCACTTAAAGGTTACAGTTGTGAGATTAATACCAGGTGAGCGATGCATGCCCATTGGGCCTCTTGTTTAATAGAACTGTGTTTGATATACCATCATT